CTTAGTCTCCAAACTGACATCGTTGCTCTTCACTACTCTAGAGAGGTCCCTGACAGCAAACTTTCCCTATGCAGTTCATCTTTTGATTTCCTGGCTGCTGAGACCAAGAGGGTTGATTGTTGAGCCAAGTGAACTAGTCTTGAGTAAATGAACTAAATTAGCAATCTCCGAAAGATGAGGTTCCAAGGCAGCCCCCAGGGATCTTGGGTAGTCAAGTGTAATAGAGACTTGTTAGCACCATCCTTGGGAAGTGAGAAGCTGCCTTCTTCTTCAGTGTTTAACTGAAGGCTCAGCTCCTAGTAGCAGCACTGATTGGTCCAGAGTTGGTCACATGCTTTATAATAGAGCCAGTGGGAACAATCTCACCAAGATGGCGTTTGCAATACACTGAGGTCATTCTTCAATGGAAACAGAAGGTTCTGATTGAAGGAAAAGAGAAAGTATGCCAGTCGGGGTGGGGTGGGAGGGGGGGACAAACCTCACCACCATATATTCACTTTAGAGAAAGTTCAGGCAAAGGATGATTTGCATTCAAGGAATGGTCACAAGGATTGGGGGAGAGAGTTCTTGAATAGATGGGAGCTCTGAGTCTTCAGAGAAGTTCTATCTGCTGCAGGCTTTCCTTGGCTCTGATTTTGGCATGTGGTTGCTTGTTCCAGGTGAACTGATAAGATCTTAATGATCGCAGACCATTGTCGGGTCCCCCAGCATTGATGAAGCACTAGCTGTGCGCGGGTCCCCCAGCATTGATGAAGTACTAGCTGTGTGCGGGTCCCCCAGCACTGATGAAGCACTAGCTGTGTGCTTGGCCCCATATTTGAGGATGGCAGCAGCTGGCTGGACAAGTGGAAGTCTCTGTGTGGCTCTGCATTGTGTAACTTGCACTCTAGGTCAAGTTGTCAGAACAGAGCAAGGAAACGCTGCATGGGTCAAAACCAGGAAAGGTGTACTCCAAGGATGCATCCTATCTCCATACCTTTTCAATCTGCAATCAATATGGCGAATAGATCATCCAGGAGTCTGGACTCTATGAGGAAGACTCAACCACCTGCATTAGGCTGATGTCATAATTCTGCTTGCTGAAACTGAGGAGGACCTGAGTGCCACCAGATAACTCACAGGCCACGTCCAGACACAGCTGGTTTCTGTAAATAAAGTTTTATTGAGCATAGCCATGAGCTTTACTAAGGGGTCAATGATTACTTGTTAGGCATTTGAAAATTGGACAATGATTAAGAATGACAGACACGTAATTGATGCCTTTGAGTTGTGGTGTTGGAGAAGAGTATAGAATAGCCTGTGGACCGCCAAGAGAGTAAACAAATTTATCTTGGAGAAAGTGCAGCTAGGGTGCATCTTAGAGGCAAGAATGGTGAAGCTTCGTCTCCTATATTCTGGGGATGTATTTTAGAACAATATCATTAATATCATATGCAAGCAAGAAACTGCTGAAAATTACCCAAAACTACTGGAACAGCACATCAACAGACAACTTCCAGATGTGCAGGCTGCGTTTAGAAGAGGCCATGGTACTAAGGATATTAAAGCTAATATTAGATGGATATTGGCTGAAAGCAGAGAGTACCAGAGGAAGGTCTCTATCTGCATTTCATTGATTACACAAAGGCAATTTGAATCTCTGACTCACAACAAACTGTGACTAACTCTGAGAATAGGAATCCTAGAACATTTAATTGTGCTTATGTGAAACCTATTCTTGGACCAGGAGGCAGTCATCAGAACAGAGCAAGGAAACACTGCATGGTTCAAAATCAGGCAGGGTGCACACCAGGGATGTGTCCTATCTTCGTATCTTTTCAAGCTATATGCAGAACATCTGGGAGGTTGGGGTCTATGAGGAGAAATGTGGCATCAGGATTGGAGGAAGACTTAACTATCTGTTATGCAGATGGCACAACCCTGCATGCTGAAACTGAGGAGGACTTGAAGCACTTGCTGCTGAAGTTCAATGACTGCAGCCTTCAATATGAATTGAAGCTTAACATCAAGAAGACTAAGATTCTCACCACTGGGCTGATTGGCTGCCTCATGATAGATTGTGAAGAGATTAAGATTGTTTACAACTTCAGCATGTTTGACTCCACAGTCAACACTCTTGGCACCAGCAACCAGAAAACCAAAAGAAGAATTACACTGGGAAAATCTGCTGTCAGGGATCTGTACTGAAGTACTGAAGAACAATGATGTCAGTCTGGAGACTAAGGTGCACCTGATTCTTTGCAATTACTTGCTATCTATCCGGGAGCTAGAGAATGACTCGGATGATAGAAGGAGAATTGATGCCTTTGAACTGTGGTGCTGGAGAAGAGTATTAAATATACAATCAAATGTTAGAAGAACAAACAGGTTTAACCTGGAGAAGGCGAAGCCAGGCTGCTCCATGGATGCAAGGATGCAAGGATTCTGAAGCTTCATTTGACAAACTTTGGACATGTTGCAAGGAGGGATCAGTCCATGGTGAGGGACATCATGCTTGGGAGGGTGGAGGGACAGTGAGGAGAGGAAGACCCAGGATGAGATGGATTGACCTAATGATTCGGGTAGTGGGGTTAGGTTTTGCCAGAGACAATAGGGTTGGCTAAGGATATAGCAGAGCTCACAGCTGTTATACATAGGGTCGCTATGGGTCGCAGGCAGTTTGATAGCACATAACAACAACATTTTGGAGGGGCCACTCCTTGGAGAAGGACATCATGTTTAGAGAAGCAGAGAGTCAACAAAAGAGAGGAAGACAAGATGAATTGACACAGAGACTGTGACAATGTGCTCAAATATTTCAGAGATGAGGATGGCACAGGATAGGGCAAGGCTCAGACCCATTGCTCATGGGTTGTTATGAATCACAATTGACTCAAAATCACCTAACATCAACAACATGCTCATTTGTTTCTGTCTATAGTCGCTTTTTTCTTTTTTTAGCTTCAGTTTGAACTTGAATGTGAGTAGTTGCTGGTCTGTTCCACAATCAGCACCTGGCCTAGTTTTCACCACTGATATAGAGCTTTCCCAGTGATCTTTTGCCACAGATGTAATCTGTCTGATTCCTGTGTAGGCCATCAAGTGAAATCCATGTGTATAGTCACTATCTGAGTTTCTTATAAAAGGTACTTGCAATGAATGAATCATTGATTGCACAGAATTCTATCATTCTGTCTCCAGCCTCATATCTGAGGATCAAGAGATCCATATTTATTCCCATTTCCAAAAAAAGTTATCCAACAGAAAGTAGAAATTATCAAACGGTATCATTAATATCACACATAAGCAAGATCCTGCTGAAGAGTATCCCAAAACAGGACCAACATTAGCAGAGAACTGGCAGCCGTGCAGGCTGGATTTAAAAGAGCCCGTGGCACTAGGGACATTATACCCGATGTGAGATGGGTCTTAGCTGAAAGCAGAACATCAGAGGAATGTCAATCTGTGTTTCATTGACTATGCAAAGGCATTTGACTGTGTGGATCACAGCAAATTGTGGCTAACATTGAGAAGCATGGCAATCCTAGAGCACTTAATTATGCTCATGTGAAACCTATACTTGGACCAGGAAGCAGTTGTCAGAACAGAGCAAGGAAACGCTGCATGGTTCAAAACCAGGAAAGGTGTACTCCAAGGATGCATCCTATCTCCATACCTTTTCAATCTGCAATCAATATGGCGAATAGATCATCCAGGAGTCTGGACTCTATGAGGAAGACTGTGGCATCAGGATTGGAGGGAGACTCAACCACCTGCATTAGGCTGATGTCACAATCCTGCTTGCTGAAACTGAGGAGGACCCGAGGCGTTTGCTGTAAAACGTCCAGGACTGCAGGCTTCAATATGGATTAAAGTTCAACATTAAGAAAACAAAATTCTCACCCCTGGGCCAACTGACAGCATCATGATGAACAGAGAAGAGATTGAAATTGTGAACAATTTCAGGTTGCTTGATTCCACAAGCAACACTCTTGGCACCAACAGTCAGGAAATCAGAAGACTAATTGCACTGAGAACATCTATAGAACCTCTCCAGGGTGCTGAAGAGCAACGATGTCAGTCTAGAGACTAAGGTGCACCTGATCCTAGCCATGGTCTTTGCAATTACTTCCTATGCATCAGAGAGCTGGACAAAGATTTAAGAATGATAGAAGAAAGGGGAGCTCTGGTGGCCTAGTGGCAAGGACCTGCAACTACAATCCCAGAGTCGCACGGTTTGAATCCACCAGATGCTCTGCCGGGGAAGGAGGGACAATCTCCTCCTGTACCAGTCAGATCTGATTTGACAGTACACTCACACAAAAATAATAAAATAAAAAAAAGAATGATAGAAGAATAATTGATGCCTTTGAGTTGTAGTGTTAGAGACGATTACTGAACAAACTGTGGACTGCTGCGAGAATAAACAAGTCTGTCCTGAGAGGGTGAAACTGAGCTGCTCCTTGGAGGTAAGGATTTTGAAGCTGCATCTCACATTCTTTGGCTACATGGCCAGCAGGGACCAATCTTTGGAGAAGGACATCATACTTGGAACAATGGAAGGACAGTGCAAGAGAAGAAGACTCTGAATGAGACGGATTGACTCAGTGACTGGGGTAATGGGGGTAGGTGTGTTGGAGACAGTGAAATTGGCTCAAGGTAGGGCAGGGTTCAGAGCTATTGTACATGGGCTCGCTATGGGTCTCAAGCTACTTGGCGGCACAGGACAACAACATAGCCGCTCCAGGGCAGTTTGGTGGTGTCATCCATAAGGAATTGTGCTGCTATACCAAAGTAGCATCTCTTTCGTTGTTCAAATCTACCTACAGCTCAGCAGGAGAGAGATGGGTAATCTCCTTTCATGTGATTCAGAGCCCCGGAAATTCAATGGAGGATCAAACTGTGAGTCAGTCTTGACCCAACAGCAATGAGTTTGAGCTTCTGAGTTTAAGACCAAGGCAGGGACGTTTTTTCTATGAAAGGCCAGGTGACTATTTTAGGCTTTGGAAGCCAGAAGGCCTCTGTTTCAACCACTCAACTCTTTAGTTAAATAGGCAACTAGTGGAGATGCAGGAATTGGCCTACAAGAAACTATGATAAGGACAAGAGCAGAGCTAGGTCTGAAGGAATCCTCTGCGCTGCTCTGATAGAATTTTGGCAATCTCCCTCTTCTGCTCACGAGCTCAGCCAGACCTGTCACAGCTCAGATGCCCTTGGGATGATACTACATCCTCCCACTTCCCCCTCTGAATCACGGCAGTCTTTATGCATTCTTCCTGCCCCACCATCGGTCTTTGATTATACCATTTCCCTCCCCTCCTCACTGCTCGAGTTTCCACTTGACATTGACAACACCTTGCCCCACTTTCTCTTCTTGAGGATTACCTCATTGCTGCATTCTCTCTGCTGAGCCTCTCTGGCCTGACAGCTCCAATTTATCATTAGTTATGGCATTTCCTGGACCCTGGGCTGGCCCAGATCCTAGGGAAGAGGTTCATGTCAGCCCTCAGCACCAGTCCTCAGGGCAGAATGTCCTCCCTGCCTCAACCATTCAACTTCCCTTTTGACCCACTTCTACCCAGCCTGAGAGCTACTGAGGTGTCAGTGTTCCTGAGTCCTTTTAGGAGACAGAGCTTGGAAATAAATGCATGTATCCGAAGCCCATGTATACACACTCATGACTAGAATTATTTCAATGTATATCCAATAGTTATAGTAAGGAGTCCTGGTGGTATAATGGTTAAGCACTCAGCTAATTACCTAAAAGCTGGTGGCTCAGACCTATCCACTGTTTCAACAGCAGCCGAATGGCCTGGCAAGCTGCTCCAGTCAAGATTATAGTCTAGGAAGACCTGTTGGGCAGTTCTACTCTATTGCATAAGGTAGCTATCAAACATCAACATGGAAACACACAATAGCCACATGTCTATATTGGGATGATAGTTCAGTGGTAGCACACTCACCTTCCATGTAGGAGACCTGGGTTCAATTCCAGTCAGTGCACCTCCAATGCTGCCACCACAAGTGTAACTGTTACTGGTTGTTGTTGGGTGCCATCGAGTCAACTAGGACTCATGTGACTGATGAACAACGGATTGAAAGTCTTCCCTATCCTGCCCCACCCTCGCCACCTCAGGCGTACTCCAGCCCGTTGTTGAAGCCACTGTGACGATCCATCTTGGTGAGGAGTGCCCTCTCTTTCCTTGACCCTCTCCCTTTCCCAACAGGATGTCATTTTTTTAAAGAATGAATCCTCCCAATAATACGCCCAAAGTATTGTAGAAAGACTTGTCAACAACCTGCCTTAGACGGGTGACACAACATTGCTAAAATGATGACGACTTGAAGTGTTGACTACAGAAAATCAAAGACTATAGTCTTCAATATGGATTACATCTCAACATCAAGAAAACAGAACTTCTCAGCCACTGGAGCAACAGGCAACATCATCACAGATGGTGAAAAAATGGACGTTGGCAACAATTTCATTTTACTTGGATCCACAATCAACACCCAAGATAGCAGTCGTCAAAAAATCAAAAGATGGGTGGCTTTGAGAAAGTCTACTGTAAAGGATCTCTCCCAAGTTCTAAAGAGCAAGGATATCTGTTTAAAGACTAAGGCGCATGTGATCCGACCCATGTTCTTTTCAATTATTTCTTATGCATCTGAAAGTTGGACAATGAAAACAAAGACCAAAGAATTTATGCCTTTGAATTGCAGTGTTAGTAAAGGGTATTGAGTATATCATGGGCTATCAAAAGAACAAATAAGTCTGTCTTGGAAAAAGTGCAACCAGGGTGCTCCTTAGAGGCAAGGACGGTGAAACTTCGTCTCACGTGGTTGTTGTTGTTGTTATGTGCTGTTGAGGATGACTCGTAGCAGCCCTGTGAGTCACAGATCTGAACCCTGTCCTATCCTGCGCCAGCCTCACAAGCTCTGACGTACCTGAGCCCACTGCTGCCGTCACTGTGTCAGTCCATCTGGTTGTGGGTCCTGGTGAGGCTGTTAGTGGAGGTTTGTATATTCCTATGATGCTGAACAGGCTTCAGTGAGAGTTCTCTTCTAAGACTGATGAGGAAGAAAAGACTAGCATTCTACTGACAAAAACCTCAGTCAATGGAAAGTCTATGGATCACAACAGTCTAATCCTGTGGTTCCTGGATGGAGTTGTCCTGAGTCACAGACCAGCTCCACAGCAGCTAACAACAACGACAACCTGTCTGCATTAAACGTTATGCAAGTTCATACTGA